TTCGGATATGTGTTTAACTTATCTATGCTTCTTTTTAGAAAACATATACTTGTTTATAGAAAAATTTATAGACATCTCAACATTTGTTAAATATTTAAGTCCATATTCCTTCAACACCTTAATGAAAGGATCTACTCACAGACTTTTCTATATAGTGGTTTATAACATTAGTCTAGGCAATGCATTTTAAAATAACTTTAATTTTTAAAATCCTTTGGTTTTTGTTTTTAAGATATTTGCTTGGACTTCATCTGACTTTTACCTTTTCCCCTAAAATTATGCCACCTGTAAACATCTCATTACATTTTCTTACTTAGACTAAGTAAAGCAGAAGTACCCAGATTACTAATGTTTTTATTTTTCTAAATGAGAGTATGATATAGATTTTATTTTTAAATAGAGTTATTCCTTGTCAGACAGCTAGAACATTTGATAACAGTCCCCTAAATTGTACTAAAACTATGGAAAACATTCACCAGTTTGCTTGCAAATCAACTCTGCTGCATGCGTTCACAAGTTTCATAAAGATTGCATGCTTTCTGTTTTTCAATACAAATTGTATTTTTTTTTCATACCCATCCTTGCTTTTTATTTTTTTATTTTTGTTTCCCTTTTCTTGGTTGGATGCCTGTGTGTGTTTATTCCAAATCCCTGTCCAGTCCTGGAGTTTGAACTACGGAAAGCCAAGGAGACCATTCAGGCCCTCCGAGCCAACCTGACAAAGGCTGCAGGTGGTGTACATAAAACTTTCTTGAGACATTTTTTTCTACGTTGACAATGCAGACGTAGCTGAGCTATTTTAAAATGTGAAATAGTAAAATTATTTGTATTTTCTTCCACCAGAACATGAAGTTCCTTTACAGGAACGAAAAAATTACAAATCAAGTCCTGAAATTCAGGTGGGTAAATGACTGACCTAAAAGTATCTTCCACGTAAAATGGATAGGATAAATATTGAAGGAGGAAAAGTTATGATTTTTCATTTGTCTTTTATTTTGCTTCCAGGAACCAATCAAACCTCTTGAAAAGAGAGCTCTAAACTTCTTAGTCAATGAATTTTTATTGAAGAATAACTATAAGCTTACATCAATAACCTTTTCAGATGAAAATGATGATCAGGTAAAGTTATTTTTAAAAAAGAACAATGATTTTTTTTAACTTATAATTTTCTCACTTTCTCTTTTTTATCTTTTTAAGTGCTATATATTGTAAAATTGTACAACGCTAATTGCCAAAAACAACAGTCCATTATTCTATTGATTTGCAGATATTTTCTTTTCCTATAGTTTCTATTTAAGACTTTTCTTTCTAGATACCTTTTAACAACTCTCCAGTAACTATATAATCTGCTCTTTTTACATATATTCATAAAATATGCTTTTTTTAAGTTTAAAAAAAACATAGTAGTATGGATTTTATGTACTTACAAATTTAGTTTAACTAGAAACCTCTTCAGTAGTGTTATAACAATTAGGACATTAGATAAATAGGTAACAGTAATTAAGAGAGAGCATTTTGAATGAGATTGAGAATATAAGCCTGTTTTAGAACTTTTATTATTTTCCTGATAAAATCTTGTAGCAAGGAAATGATGTCTTAATTTTGTGTCATCTCTGAACTCTGGAATATTTTGACTTCTCAATGCTGATAGATCACTTTGAATCTTGCATTTTAAAAGAGTAAATGCTAAAGAGATTACTATGTAGAAATCAGGAAGTCATTATTTTAAGTCAGGATTATTCTGGTGATGTATGAAATAAATCTCCTCTGAATCTTTTATGAAAAATAGAAGTTCTCAGCCAGGCACAGTGGCTCACACATGTATTTCTGACATTCTAGGAGGCTAAAGCAAGAGTATCACTTGAGCTCATGAGTTTGATACCAGTTGGAAAAAAACGAGATACCCATCTCTACAAAAAAAATAGGAAAATTAGCCAGACCTAATGGCACATGCCTTATAGTCCCAGCTACAGGGGAGGCAGAGGCATAAGGATCACTTGAGTCCAGGAGTTTGAGATTGCAGTGCACTACAGTGATCCCACTACACTCTAGCTGCAAGGAACAGAGTTAAGACTCAGTCTAAAAAAAAATAAAAAAGATCTCTAAGGGAGATAACGGTTCCATTACCCCTCAGTTACAATAGTTGGCAAAAATTAAGTTTAATCACTATCTAGTTTTTTTTTTTATTATAGTAGAGTCATTGAACACATACTGTGTAAAAGACATTAAACTAATATTTAGCTAACATAAAAATTATACTACGCTGTGATTATAGTTTATGTTAATTATGTTTTATAAATTAAAGAGTGACTAGGAAAAGTTGTGAATATGTGAGAAACATTGAGAGGTCAAAAGAACACCAAAAAGGAAATAAAGATCAGATGAAAATAGCAAGATGTTTGATTTAAACCCAGTCAATTTGAATTTGTAGTTAAATCCTTCCCAGAAAGAAAACTGGAGATCTGCATGGCTTCATTTGAGAATTCTATCAAATATTTCTAGAAATTGAAGAAA